TAGAGTAGGTAAAACCAAGAAGCAAACCATCAATTTGGAATATAAGGAAGCAGAAAACACCCAACTAGTACAGCAAAAAGGAAAAAGAATCCAAAGAAATGAAGATAGTGTAAGGAGCCTCTGGGACAACTTCAGGTGTGCCAACATTCACATCATAGGGGTGCCCGAAGGAGAAGAGAGAGAGCAAGAAATTGAAAAACTATTTAAAACAATAATGACAGAAAACTTCCCTAACTTGGTGAAGGAAACAGACCCACAAGTCCAGGAAGCACAGAGAGTCCCAAACAAGTTGAATCCAAAGAGGTACACACCAAGACACATCATCATCAAAATGCCAAAGGTTAAATACAAACAGAATCTTAAAAGCAGCAAGAGAAAAGCAGTCCATTACCTACAAAGGAGCTCCCGTAAGACTGTCAGCTGATTTCTCAAAAGAAACTTTGCAGGCCAGAAAGGAGTGGCAAGAGATATTCAAGGTGATGAAAAGCAATGACCTACAACCAAGATTACTCTGTCCTGCAAAGCTATCATTTAGAATCAATGGCCATATCAAGAGTTTCCCAGACAAGAAAAAGCTAAAGGAATTCATCACCATCAAACCAGTATTATATAAAATGTTGAAGGGTCTTCTTGAAGGCAAAGAAGAACAAAAATATGAACGATAAAATGGCAATTAACACATATCTATCAATGACTGAATCCACAAACAAAATGAGCAAGCAGAACAGAAAGAGACTCCTAGATACAGAGAACTTTTTGTTGCTTGCCAGATGGGTGGGGGCTGGGGGATGGGTGAAAAAGATGAAGGAATTAAGAAGTACAGATTGGTTGTTAGACTGATGAACCTCTAAGGGAAGGGGGGAGGGAGGGTGGGATGAGATAAACCAAAGAACCTCTATGCATAGATCCACAACCAATGGACACCGACAATAGTGTGGGGAAGGCAGAAAGGGGCTGGAATCGGGGGGAGGGGGTCATTGGGGAGAAAAGGGAGAAACATCTGTAATACGTTCAATAATAAAGATGAGTTTTAAAATACACCAGAAATATGTCTGGCTCAAAATTTCTATGAATTCCAGTCTGCCGCTGAAATGGGAGAGTTTTTTGAGTTCAGGGGCCTTAGACAAGCAAAGAAAATCTGCCAAACTAGTTTTCTCTTTGAAAGCTCTTTCCAACCAAGCATAAGCACTTTTTTCATGATTGTGTTCTTACTCATCTTCCACCCACCCAAAATACTGCAACTATTTCGGGGCTTCATGTGCAATTGCTCATGGCTCATTCAAACAATGGTACTGCTTCTTTCATTCAGAATTGTCAGGGAGAGCTTGGTCATTTTTTCCCCCCACATTTTATAATTTTGGTAAGTACATTTAACATGAGATCCACGTTCGTTTTTATAAAGTGAACAATAGAGTATTGTTACCTATAGCTACAAAGGTGTACAGTGCTCTCTGGAATTCATTCATCTTGCATAACTAAAATTCTCTACCCATTAAACAGCATCCTCCCCATTGCACCCTTCTTCCATCCCTCAGCAACGACCATTCTACCCTCTGCTTCTATGAGGTGGACCATTTTAGAGAATCATACAGCATTTGTACTTCTATAACTGCCTTATTTAACTTAGCAAATGTTCTCCAGGTTCACCGGGTGTTTTGTTTTGTTTTGTTTTCCATCCTATGGAAGAAAAAGAAAGTTCTATAACTATGTCTTAATGGCCTGCCAACAAATGACTGACCTTACTAAACATTTTTATTTGCCCATGCTTTATGCAGGTCTCCTACTGGGCACCCCCGTGGATTTAATGCTTACCTATCCCTCCCTAAATTATTTTCAAAGACTGAATTAATGCTTGGGGCAAAGTGCTAAGATAGAAAAGGTTAAAGCCAAACAAACCAACAAACCTGGGTTTAACTCAGTAAAAATGACAATCTGAAATAAATCACAAACCAAGGATGAATAGAATTTAAATATTTCCTTCTCTCTAGAAGCTTATTTTATCCAACATATAAGACAACAAATGTACAAATAAATGGCATTCACTTAAAATGTCATTTACTGGATTTGCACAAGTAAAACAAATGTATTTTTTACCCTTACATTTAAATCTATAGTAAATTTTGAAAATAAATAGTTGCAAATCCCAATCAAGCAAAACCTCAACCAAGACAACTTCTCATGATTGGTGTTTACCCTGTTGGTTGAGTCCCCACTGTGAAGTCTACCAAGAATAACAGGACCATTGATTTAATCCCTTTCTGGCAGTCCTTTCACTGAAATTTAATTATGTTGCTTTTTGTCTGCAACCTTTCCCTAAGGTTTCTGTGATATTCGAATACCTCCTTTAAGTGTTATGAAAAGCACATTAGAGGGTTTTTCCTCTGATTATTTCATAACATAACATAGCTGTTCCCTCTGCCAGCAAGCCCACACAACTGTTTTCAATAAGTAAAACAGTTTTCTTTTTCTTTTTTTTTCTTACATTTTATAAAGTGTAGATTAAACATTAATTAGTTGTAGCTGAGTTTCAACATTTTTTTTTTTTAGAGTGAACTTCTTACAGTTGGTTCTCAAACAACACAAATAAGATCCTATAATGTGTGAACAATGGTATAGCTTTAGGCTTCAGAAAGGGCAAGGATGCTCGGTTAAGTCAATCTTAAACTGTTTTGCAATGATTTCATGCTGAGCAATTATTTCTATATTCCTTAAATGATGGGAGTTTCAAAGGCATGAGGGAGTGCGTATTTTTATAGCTATAAAAATCTTATTACATGAGTATGGCTTTCTGGATTTCTTTCCTTCCTCTTCTCCAAACTCATAAAATTGAAAGAGGCCAACCCAAATGTGTGCTAACCACAGTAGCTTCTACATCTTATGGTCACCAGTGTCAATTCTTGTCATTTTTGTTTACTATTATTGGCTTGTCACAGGCTCAATATCTCCAGAAATAATTGAAAATGAAAACAAACTTTTGTATGTGTCCTTTCTCTCCCCAGTAATGTGTCAGCCTGGGAAAATGCTCCTTTTGAAAAGAAAGCAGAGCTGACATATAATTGTTGCCTTTACCCCAGCTGTTACTGACATTACATGCTGAACCTTCCTTGGAGACGGAAAACCAATTTTGATGTGACACTCTGAAAAGTCACCACTGGTACTTTACAAATAGTTCAAGGTCACAGAAATCTTGCTCGAGACACTCTCAGGTAAACCTCTGGAGGACTTTTCTTTCTTGGGGAAAGCAGTGTTTGTATTGATCTTGCAAATTATAGATTTAAAGTCTAACAAAGAAAAAACTATCAAGAGAAAAAAATAGCTAAGTACAAAATCAATGCTTTTGCTTTGAAATTTTAAAAAGCAATTCCATACAACTATTATAGTGAAAAGAGAAGTTAAAAATTTCATGTTTAACATTTGAAATCTGTATATAGGAATAAATAAACTTAAGATTACATCTTATTTATGGAAACTTTGATAAAGGATTTAACTTTTAATACTTGAGTATAATTCAATTTTTTATTTTAAAATGTCTAGTCATTAAAGGTATCCTATCCATTATACAGATATTGAATTTTAGTCTTATTTTTTCTTTATTGTAACTTTTATGATTTAATAAGCAATGTATTACCTAACAATATTCTAATCAAAACAAATTTTTATTATTATCGGCTTAATAAATAGTACTGTATGAGTTTCATTTCTGGTTAGTGATTTCTGGGATAAACTAAACTGCTCACATTTTTATTTTTCCCTTTGAATCCTCTTATCAAAGCTTAAGTGTCTTTTTAGTTACTAAAACTTTGTCAACCTCCAAGGAAACTTAATGTTATTAACATAACAAAGGATCCACACCTCAATGCTCATATTTTGTTTCTAAGCTTGCTCGCCATCTAAGCTATGTTGGCCAATAACCAAAATGATTAAGCTGAACTCAAAAATTGAACTAAAGTGCCCTATATTTATGCTATATTGTTGTCAACGCTGTTGCATTGTTTTCTCATTTCAGTACACTAGGACATTTATACTTACCCACATGGGTTGAGTTTGTAAAAATCAATTTCTGAACAAAATGCCACTAGGAAAAAAACAACCATTTGAGAAATAATGGACTCTTATCGATGTTCTCGTTTATAGTCATCTTTTAATAATATTCTCATTGTTTGAGAGCTTTAGGGCAAGAAGCAACACATTTAATTTATAGAGTTTACAATTTATATTCACATTATGGCTATTTCAGAGAGGAAGCCATTTTTTATGTCAAGTCATTTTGCTTTGTCCTAAATTAAAATAGATAAATGAGTAGATAGATACATAGATAGATAGAAATGCAGATAGATAGGTAGATGAGCTCTCCCACAACTACTCCAAGAAACAAGCTTCATAGCAAATATTTATTATGACTGGATTCATAAAGAAATAATGACAACTACTATTCAATTTAGCAAATGTTTATTGAATGCAGAATATAGAAAAATATTATATTTCCATTGTAATAATAAAGAAATGATTATATGTTCTCTAACTTGAATGCATTCAACATATTTGTAATTATGATGATCGTTTATCATTTCTTATCTGCAGTCTTGGAAAGTTTTATAACTCCAATTAATACAAATAAAGAAACTGACCATATTAAAAATGAGATCATTTGCCTAAGTTCTTATGGGAACAGGTAGTAAGCTAAAGATCTGGAATTTGAACCATGATCTATTGGACCATATTTGGTACATTAGACCAAACTAATGCATAAAAGAAATAGACAATTATACAAATCACTTTATAATTGAGCAAGATGTGATTATTTTCATTTGAGATATGAATAGTTCTACAGAAATCTGTAACTATGTCATTTACATCAGAGAAAGTTTGAGCAGAACATAGTAGCTTTATTACAAACTTTAAGTAAGGTAAGGAGTATGAGACATGAACTCTGAGGCAAAACAAAATCCAGGTGAATAAAACAATGGAAGAAACATGATCCTTCTGACCTTCTTTTTTTTTAATATACAGAAGGCTGCACTAGTTTGCCTGCCATCCTTCCATAGGGGTCATGCTTATCTTCATGGTATTGTTACAATTTTAGTATATGTGCTGCCATATGTGTGAGCACCATTCATTATTTTTCACCAATAACTTACCACCCCATTAGTTTAGGGTACAGTATAAAATGTCATGTTAGGTTAGAAATATATCTACATGTAAGTGAATTATGTTGGCAATATTGTAATGAGTTTTTATTAGAAGATAAAATTATTTTTTTAAATATGGGAGTCCCTAAATTATCATTTAAGATAGGAAAAGGAATGAATGATAAGGTTAATCTTAGAATTATAAAGAGTCTTGAGGAAGGAAAATGAAGAAGGTGGTTGTAATATTTCAGGCAATATGTATGTGTAACCAAAAAATGTTTGGTTGTGGCAAGTAAAATAAATGGATAGGTTTAGGTTCAAGGTACTTAATAGGTATGATGTTGAGCATTAGGGATATTAATGAAATGAGAAATGCAGATGAGGGGATGATATTTTGCATTGGGAAATTCAATTAATTGTCTTCTATATTTCTCAGGATATTCAGAATATAGCTGTCGTTCATATGAATTTCAAAGTATCATTGACTCAATTATATAATTATTATAAAGAGGGTTCTTCATGTAAGAACAACAGAAATGAAGTAATAAAGTGGAAAAACAAGAAGTCTTATCAGTTAAAATCTTCAATCTCAAGTCTAAATAAATAATTTGGAGAAATTTATCCTAATAACAGCATAATAGTTTTATGTAGAAAATGGATGATGTAACAATATTGGACTATTTTTAGAGGTAAAGGAGATAACAAAGATAAAGAATAAAGCATGATGCCTGATAGGAAATGTTTAATGCATATTAAATTTTTTCCTTTCAAGTGCTGTGAAGGTCACATTTTATTTAGGTTGGGGGTCTACATATTTCCTGTAAAGGCTCGGTACCCCTAACGGTTAGTTCAGGTTGTTACAATAAAATAACACAGATCAGAGGGCTTGTAAACAACAGAAATTTATGTCTTACAGTTCAGGAGGCTGGAAGTTTGAGATCTGGGTACCAGCATGGTTGGGTTTATGTAAGGAACTTCCTCTGGATTACAGATTGCTGTTTTCTCATTGTGCCCTCACATGGTAGGAAGAGGGAAAACAGCTTCCTGGAGTCCCTTTTACAAGGGAACTAACCTCATTCATGAGGGTTCTACCCTCAGGACCTAATTACCCCCTAAAGGCCCCACCTTCTAATATCACCACGTTGGACATTAGGATTTCAATAAATGAATTTTGAGAGACACAAACATTCAGTCCATTGCAGTCAGATAGTAAATATTTTAGGCTTTGCTGGCAAATACAGTCACTGTTGCAACTACTCAATTCCTCTGTTGTAGCACATCCATACATAATACATAAACAAATACGTCTGTATTCCAATAAAACTTTATGTTAAACAGGAAGCATGCTAGATTTGGTCTATGGGTAGAACTTTTCCAACTCCTGACTTAGAGTTACATTTCATGGGCAAGTGAAGCTATGTGTAATTCTTTCATAGATAATGGACAAATGATGTATATGTCAATAACATCTTACGATTTAGGAAATCTATTTCATCATCAAGCTTTTGCTCTGTATTAAATACTAATAATTGAATTGATATCATAGTACTTAAACTCTAGATGAAAAACTTAAAATAAATATTTTTATAGGTACTATGTCTCTTCAGAATAAAGCAACTGACTTGATCTGGGAGAGGATTCTCAGAAAAGTTGAAATCTGATTTGTGCTTTAAAAAATAATTCTGAGCCCTGGCCAGTTTGGCTCAGCGGTTAGAGTGTCTGCCCATGGACCTGAAAGTCCTGGGTTCAGTTCCCGCTATGGGCATGTAACTTCGTTGCAGTTTGTCCCCAACCCCAGTTGGGGTCGTATGGGTGGCACCACTTGATGTGTCCCTCTCACATTGATGTCTCTCTCTCTCTCTCTCTCTCTCTCTCTCTCTCTCTCTCTCTCTCTCTCCCCACTCTATTTGAAGATAAATGCAAAAATGTCCTCGGGTGAGGATAAAAAACTAATAATAATAAAATAATAATAATAATTCTGAGACCAGGAGGGAGAAGGGGAAAAAAAGAAAATGTCAGACACAATAGCAGTATGTGAAAAATCTTGAAGACAGTTAATGCTCCAGTATGTTGAGAGGACAATGGGAATTTTAACAGGGATGCACAAAGCATGTGAGAGCTTGATGGAGAAGAGGCTGGAAATGTGCAATGAAAATAGATTATTAATAAGTTTTTGAACAGTAGGATTTTGTATGTGTTCCTGAGATTCAACAAGGAGAAAGCAGAAATTGCCGAGGTCATCTATTTGCTCACCAAATACTTCTGTTTTTCCCTTTGGGCAGAGGATCATATTGCAAGTCCCTACAACTTTGAACTTAGATGTTGCTGCATGACTTGCTTTGACCAAAAAATAAGCAGAAATGGTTTGTGTCATTTCCGATTAGACCTTTAAGAACCAGAATGTAAACTCTATGATCGTTTTCTCCGTCCTGGGCAATCATGGAATTACAGAAGGAAGATGGAGCCTCCCCTGGCCTGGATCCTTGAGTGAGGATGATATAAGGAGGATACCTCCCTCAACCTGTCGCAGTTGTCTAGTGGGCGAGAGAAATTAACCTTTATTTTTTTCAGCCCACTGGAATATTTATTCTAAGCCTGAGTTGTCCTTTTATCTTATCATAGCCTCCTTTCTTCTTACCATAATGTCTGTAAAACGACTGCCCAAGGTATCATTGAATAACTCTATGAATTGTGATTTAGAATATCTGCATTAATATTTGCATAATATAGTTTGTTAACATTTTAAAAATTATTTTATAATAAAAATAAAATGAAAGGAAAATGCAATCCAAAGCTCCTAATCTTAGGTAACTCATCAGCTATGATGAATTTGGCTGAAGTAATAAGCCATGATGTTGCATCTGACTACAAACTTAAAGAAGCAAAGAATATATATTAGGAAATTATTTAATGTATACTGAACTACAGTTGAAAAATGTCATTTATTCATGTCTTTGTTTCTTCATTCAGTCTTAAGAAATCCTTACATTTCAGAGTGACATCTTACAACTTCTTATTGCAGCTACATAAGATTGTATAATAAAAAACATGTCTTTTGTTGTGATCAAGATGTTTGGTCCAAAGAACAGTCAATCTCTCCTTTGCTGTGCCAGGGAAATAACTTAAAGAGAAATGCTAAGCAATGGGTGACATATAAAAAGTGGCTGTTTTAATTTATTCATTTATATTATGAAAATTACTAGTGCACCAGACATTTCATACATTGTAAATCTAACTCCCTAGTGTTTATGTTTGTAAAGGTTCAGCAACTGAGAGAAAGAAGTCCAGATCAACAAATTAAGTCATATTTATACTGATTGACATGGGCAGATTCAATTCCATTTTTTCTTTCTGCCAATGGTACTAGAGGTCACATCTCAGAGGAAAATGGAAATCTCTGCACCTCAAACTGACACATTCAATTTGGTTCCCAAAAACGATTTACCTACGCAGTTATGAGTATGACACAATTAATTTAGCAAACACAATGGTTTATTCAACATTAGCCTTATATGAAAATATATCTACCTGTTTTCTAAAGTAAATATTGTAAGCTGTGGGTGTAATTAAAATTTTAGACATGTTTGACTCTATGCAATGGCAAAAATCAATATAATAAAATTATATATATGTATATATGTGTGTGTATATATATACACATATATATACATACATACATAATATATAAAAGATATAATAAGAAAAGAGTAAGAAAACGGTGTCTGTGTTGTTCAGAAGATATTTGTTTTATATTATGCAGAAATAGACCTTGATAGTCAAAGGCCAGTTGGACATTATTCTTAGCTTTAGGAAGACAATATCTTAATAAAACATTAGAACCAAATTGAAACATCTTAACATGGTCTACATGGGTCTACATCAACTCATACTTTTCTGACTTAATTTTATGCCATTCTCTTAATTTACTTTTATTAAATAGCATTAGCTTACATTCTGTGCCCTTTAGAAACTAACTCACAATCCCACCTGTAGGTCTTTGCACTTGTTATTGTCTGGAATATTCTCATAATTGACACTTTCTTGACATTTTATTCTCAGCTCCATTGTGATGTTAGAAAGATTGTTTTTTTATCCTCACCCGAGGACATTTTTGCATTTATCTTCAAATGAGTGAAAGGGAGAGAGGGGGGAAGAGAGTAAGAAACATCGATGTGAGAGAGACACATCGACTGGCTGCCACTCACACAACCCCAACCGGGGCTGGGGACAAACTGCCACCAAGATACATGCCTTAGCGGGAACCGAATCCAGGCCTCTCTGGTCCACAGGCCGACCCTCTAACTGCTGAGCCAAACCGGCCAGGGAGGAGAGATTGTTTTTGATCACTCAGAAGTAACTCCCTCTTTAGCCCTTTCACTTTTTTATTAAGCTACTCTATTTTCTTCATATCAGTTATCACTATATAATATAATCATGTTTATTTATTTATTTGCTTTCTCCTACTAAAAAAAGAATAAAATCATGAAAGCAGAGATCGTCTTTGTCCTGTCAAGTATTCTATCTCTGTATTCCACTTATATGTATTGAATGAAAATTTTTTCATATATATTTCCATAGATTCACTTTATCATGTTGAAGTATATTATACTTTCTTATCTTTTATCTTGAAACAATTCCAATCAAATTTACATCACTTTTAAAAAGAAAAGTGTTTACCTATATTTTCAGGAACTCATATGGCACATTATACAGACAGGAGGGTGGTTGGCATATGCTTCAAATATCTGCCCCATCCCTTAGTGGTGAATTTAGCTATAAATTAAAATCAGATGACTATCTTTTATTCTTTATCAGTAAAAGCATGTGTGTTTATTATCTTTATGCCCAATATTTCCATTTTAACACATTTGGAAAAGAAAGTACCAGAAGGATGAGTATACCATATTTAAATGTATGTTCTTAATAAATCATAAAGAATTTTTAATATTTAACAAATATCAAAAGATTTTTTCTGGTAATG